CGATAAAACGGAGTACCGATTTATTCTAGGAAACCTCCATATTTAAAACCAGCAACGTTTACGATTGCATTTAAACAACGTTTAGGTGCGTATAGAATCTTACCGGATTTGGGGGTATCGCCTGATTGTTAACTAGACAATAAACAATATGCAACTGGGCAAGTGCCGTCTATATATGTATATTATATACATGCAGACTGTATTGATTTAGTGTAAATTAAATTACTATTAAAAAATAACATATATTATATCAGGTGATATGACACTAAATTATGTCATGGTATGTTATGTTACATTATGTTATATTAGTTTTTATTCAAATATTTTATATTATATGGTTGTTGTTGCATTTTACTGCATTTTGTTTCTCACTTTGGGGTTGGTTTTGTCTCGTTCAGGTGCCTCGCGGTGTGCAGGGCAGGCATCCTTGATGTGGGTGTGTCATCCAAGCAGGGCATCCAACATGTGAAGGCCAATCTGCCTCCATCATCGGGCGCTGATGATCATCTAAATGGGATTGTAGCTGATGCCTGAAGATACTGGTGACAGTATATTGGTGACGCTCACATTGGGTGAGGGCCACGTCCAGATTGAACAAGACTTGGTCAAGCAAATTTCGCAGGTCTGGCACAAGCAACGACGTACTGGAGTGAATGGCTTGAATCTCTGACTTCACGGCTGTCAATCTCGAATGCAGGCTGGCAAATTGTAAAGCTGGCTCCAAAGTCTGCTGCAAGGATGGCTCCTCTCGGAGCATTGCTGGACGAATTGGAGGACAGTAAATCTAGAGACAAATGGTGGTATGAAACACAATGTGATAACATGGGACACTTGTTCCAATTGACATGTAAACTGTTCAGGTTCGAAGGAAGTGGGACCACTTCTGTTGCTAGAGCCAATGTCACACGACATGGCGACGAACAAACAATACTGCAGTGTCACATGACACAGAAACTGCAGCTTAACAGGGAGGGACGAGAAAATTCAAGATCGAGATGACATGGGGTACGCTCACTTGAGCGCTCAATATACAGAACGTGATATATATATATATATATGAAATTACGACATGTCATCAACTCCTGCAAGATCATGTTCACACATGTCTACATGAGATCAAATGGAACTATCAGTGGATGTTTTGATATGCCTTGGGGATCTCCCAAGGCAGTGTTTCAACCTCTCAAAATATTACTCCATCAACGAGTTGAGCTGCGTCATATTCTATTGTATAATATCAAATCATACAATATAATATTATATTACCATACGTTTATTGTTGCTATTAACATCACCATTACTATTGCTATTACTATTGCTATTGCTATGACTATTGCTATTACTATTACTATATCAATCTATATCACATCATATCAAATCATATCATATCACTTCATATCATATCAAAATATCTATATGATTTTAAATATATGTATATATATAATATTGGTCAGCTAATAACTGTGGTGATGAACTACATACTAGCTCGGATGCAATTGCACGTAATACCTGCCAGAATGTTCTTCAAACAAAATGAAAAGTCAGACATGGCATCGATGAATTTGAACTATTTGAGGAATCGTCAATGAATAATTTAGACACTATGAGATTTAATTGATTAAGACTTCCACTACCTGAGTATAGTGGGATTTCGACAGGTTTAAGCTTAAACCATAGATTCCATTGAATCATTGACCAGCAAGAGCTTGCATCTCACCGACAAAGGGGTGTGTACACTGCACCAAAGGCTTAACCCTTCTGGGAACAAACATGAACAAACATAGCTTGGTGGGCAATCCCTGCTTTTCAGCAAACATCTGATCTAGATTCCGATTTTCCAGAGAACCAGGTTAGATTGCTAGAAGGTAAGTCATCCTCAGAAAGTGATTTTTCCCGGTGAAAAATACCCGTCCCTCTATTGGGAGAAAATGCTGCTGCACTACCCTATGGTAATTTGACAGGGAAAATTCCTACTTAGTTAAAATATTTACCTATTAAACATGGTGATTTTCAATAGCCATGTTAAATTACCAGACGGTAATATCAAACGCGATCAACTCACCAGCAAAACAAATTGTCCTAACAGTTGAATTGGATTGAATTCTTAACTCTTTCGTTGTTTCTCCAATTCAACAGGTCATTGTTTCATATTGTTTCAGTGTTTCCCACATATCGATACCAACTATTGATACCAACTATTTTTCAACTAGTTTAATATTGATATCAACTATTGTCAAGAGTCAAGAACTAACTATTGATACCAACTAGCTATTGTGTCCTAACAACTTCCAGTGTTTCAGATTCATTGTTTCAATGAATGTTGGTTCAACCACTTCCCATCCACAAAGTCCCCACGTTCGCGGAGCAGTTCCGAGCGGCAGCGCCCAGCTTGGTCAAGGCGTTGGCCACGTTGAGGCTGAAGGAATCCAAGTTGTCAATGAAGACCACGCCTTGGCCACGCAAGAAATCTGAAGGATTTAGGATATCGATGAGCAAACTTGATATGAGGATGAGTCGCAACAAAAAGCAACACATGTGAATTTACAGCAAGCAGCAACAATGAGGATTTCACCAGAAAACTGGGGTTGCAACCGACGTGTCACCCCCAATTTGATCACTGGATTGGTTGAAGCTATTGCACCTCTGAAAATTAAATCCACATGTCATGTTTGCTGGTGAAATCACTTCAATCATTGAACTTCAATCCACCTGTTTATTGCAAAACTCGTTCATTTTAATCAATTATCATTTCTTGGTTCACATCACTGACATTCCAGGTTTCATTGCTACATTCCCATCCACATTCCACCATTACCGGAAAAATACGGTCAATCCATTGAACCAGTTCCCAAATCCATTGGCTAATCATTGTTTTTTCCCTGCTAAAACTGCCATGTGGAGGGTATGCCCGATTTTCAGTTCAGAATACGAAGGCATCACATTGTTGATTAGATATCCCAATCATATCCTATGAAAAATCCCTGTGTTCATGATTAAAACGCAATTCTTGATGGTTAATCTGATTATATAAATACAATATCACATCAAGTTGGTGACCTATATCTCATAAAATATTCCCACTATATCCCAATAAACCACCATTAAATCATCATTAAATCACCATTATATAAATTAAATCCCATTAAATCATCATTAAATCTCATTAAAAAAACATCATTAAATCAACATCAAATCACCATTAAATCCCATCAAATCACCATCGAATCCCATCAACTCATCATCAAATCCCATTGAATCACCATTAAATCCCATCAAGTCACCATTAATTAAATCCCATCAAATCACCATTAAATCCCGCTAAATCACAATCAAATCACCATCAAGTCACCATTAAACCCCATCAAATCACCACTATATATATATATATTATATATGTATATATATTATATATATATATATTATATATTATATATATATATATGTATATCCTATCAAATCACCATTCAATCGCGCTAAATCACCATCAAATCATCATTAAACCCCATCAAATCACCATTAAATCTCCATTTTTCTTGGTTCAATGAACCTATATGGATGGTCAAAATTTGCTTAGCGGCGCGTTTTGTCAGCGGCCGGAGTCCATGCGGGCCAAAGTGTCCAAGTGCCCCGCACGGGCTGTCTGCCTGGCGTGATGAATAGAGGTACCCCCATGAAAATGGACACCTCCACAATGTGGTTTCAACATGTAACCAGGATTGAATATCCAGAACAGGGGGATCCCGGAGAAATTTGTGTTTTTTTGCTCCAAAGATCTTGAACAATATTGAATTTTAGAGTGTTGAAGCCTAGGTTTTAGAGCAAATAAGGACTGTCACCTCAGCTGAGGCTATCATATGCTATCATAAATCCCTTTCAACCTGTCCTGTGATGCAGCTGCAAAAGCACATACATGTCATAGGAATTGGTGGATTTTGCATCTTGAGTAGATTATACAAATCTATACAGTATCAATACATAGCTAGTATGATAGGTGTGGAGAAATTCTATTGCTCGATACACATGATATTACATAGATGTTGCTTCGTGAACTTGCTAAACTGGCATCATCCCAACACACATATTATATAGAACCATTTGCAATTGCAACAAATCATTGGCGCTAAAACATCAGGATTTACACCGTTTTGTGATGTGTTTCTTCAATAAAAAACCACCACCAGTCCCCCGCTCTCAAAAATATGGATTTGAGTTAAGCAGAGACAATAGACATTTCACCACACCAGTAAAAATGAGGATTTGATTGATCATGTTTCATCTATTCGGGAAGCAAGTGAGTGGGATTTGACGGGCAAACAAATGCGATTCAATTGCAGTGTAATGAATATCGAATTCAAGCAGCAAAAATGAAACTTCATCAGGAGCAATTACACCAGCGTTCTAATTTGGATAACTAATGATTGGGCTTTAACTAATGTACACGTTTTGATTTGAAGGTGACGGTTAAACTGGGCCAGCAAAAATTGGGCTGAAGTAGTCACATGTCCAAAGAATCTTGGCTGTTTGACGGTGACAAAACTAACCAGCCAAACTTCTAAACATTCATTTTTATCTTGTTTTTTCCAACATGTATAAGATTGCCAGCCTTGATAATGCCAACACTGCAGTATAATAAAGAACACTTTCGTTTAATTGATGCGATTCATTCAACCAAGGCCAAAAAAGAATGATGAACAATGTCATCATGCTACAACTGGTTGCCTAGTCAACGTGCAGGGCATTCTTTGTCGCGTTTGTTTCCTTTGGTGGGTTTCCTGCAACATTGCCCTGATGCCTTTCACTAAATCAGTGCTGATCTACTCTTATGGTCTGACTTGAAGCGGCTGGCAACTTTCATATAATCGCTTTTAGTTGGAACAGGTTGAGTCAACAAACAGTTTTATATAGCAAAACCATGCAAACCCCAAGAAAACAGAAAACTAATTCATCACTAGTTTGGTGGGATTTTACGTTTCTGTGTTGCGATGCTAGAATCCCACTTAATAGCCATGCATCACCCCAACATATCCCAACAAACGACCATAATTTATATTTATATTAAGTGAACACATATCATAGGGAAGGAGGATAAAGAAACCACTTTGAACATCTGTAGGACGGCGAAATTTACATGGCAAAGCCCTTGGCCGGGGACACACAGATGGCACACCTTTCCCAAAATCTTCTCTGTGGTGCCCACAAAAAATATATCTGCGCTTGGTTTATCCATTCTGAGGTACTGTCAGTTCAAAAGGCCGACATTATCCCATCTTTTGACGATTACCCTAAATCATTTAAACTGTGCAGTTGCTGGCCAAAGACTCTAATGTCGTCTTCGCAAAATCTGGATCTGTTGGTTGAATCAACTTAAATCCACCATTCTTCGCACCTTCAAAGTCCCATCGGGTGAAAATCCCCAAGTTCAGCACCGTGCCTTCTAGCCGCTGGGCTTCAAAGGCCTTCAGCAAGCCTCCCAAACGCGGCGGCACGTGTTGGTCACCTGGGATGTCGGGTCGAAATGCCGCTTGCCACAGGTCTAAATCTATCCATTCTTGGAATTGGGGAATGGGGATAGGGGCCAACAGGCTTGCTCCCTGGTCAGGAAATTTGCTACAGTAGTAATGGATGCAATATGGTGAAATGCAGTAAATCCACCATTGCCCTCTTGTGGTCATTTATCTGCAATAGGTCGGAGCAACCCAGATATAATAATAAAGAGTTGAGGTTAGCCAGGAAAGTGGTTCCAATTTGCCGACAAAACCATTGCAGCCTTCCTGTTTTCCCAGTTTCTCTTCTTTCTGCCGCATTGATGCACTCAGGCCGCGCCGAAAGCAAAGCCTCCAGAAATTGATAAATGAGCAGTCTCTGAACGGTCTCGGAAACATTCCAAAGACAAAACGTGATTGGTGAAGGGAAGTCTAAAAAGAATGCATGGGTTCACCACCAAAATCGAAGGTTAAGCAACCCTGCAAACCAATTCTGCGATAGTTGATCTGCCAGACTTTGACCAGGCAAATATAATTTAATTCTGATAAGCAACAAAAACAACGAAAACGATGAGTCAAACATGTGCAAACAACATCGTTCAAACAATTTTTGAGGGGTGCTGAAAGTTGGTATCAAAGCCCCTTGTGGATTTGTGTCGGTGAGTTGAACCAAAAATTAGATGATCGGTTTGCACCACCCATGTCTGGTGAGTCGTAGGGGATGGAGTTTATCCAATAATTCTCATAAATCCCACAATCATCCCAAACTTACGCAGGTTGGCGATTATTATCATACCCCAGTTGTACCCCAATTATATCCAGGCTATACCCCACGTTAATCCCAATAGTTATCCCAATAGTTTTCCAATAATCATTTCATAATTCCCTGTTTATTATTGGATCTACGACATTCGTTGTTTACCGCATCATTGACATCCCATGAGGCTTCACTCCGCGGGATCGCGACCCGCTGCATGGCGGCAGGATCCAGCTTTTGCACCGACTTCCGATATTTCAGGCTCGGAGAACTGGATAGTCTCATGCATCTGCTATATAAACACACACATGTAGCTTGCAATCATAGCAGGATGTTCCATGCCCAGAACATCCAACCTTCTTTATTTAACATTTAAGGTAACCTCTCTTAAATTATTTAAGGAAGGTTAGCTTAATTAAGGAAGATTGTTACCTTCGTTAATTAAGGAAGGTTTTCTGTAGGTTTTTCCACGAGTTATTTTGTGACATTATATGGTCTTTTACATTGATGCCACCTTGTATTTGTTGTTTTTAATTTATGTTTGTTGAAAGGATTCAGTGTGCAAGCAAGTCGATGAAACTGTTGGTTAAAACTTCGAAATGATTTGTTTTGATCCGATACACGGAAGGAATAGATTTCATTTTTTTGGTTATGGATGTTTGGTTTGACAGTGTTTTTTGTAAAGAAAGTAGTGTGCAATCGCATCGATGAAGTTGCGTGCACAGTGATGGACATACAAGTAAGAGGTTTGCCTTTCAGTGTTTGCTTCCGGTGGCTTGCCCCGGGTAGTTTAGAAATAGAATTTCGTAATTGTTTGTTTGCGTCGTTCGTTGCATGCTCAGGGATGTACATAGGTAAGAGGCTTGCTCTTCACTGTTCATAGTTGGTGGCTTGCCCCAAGAAGTAGGTAGTTTTGAAGTCGAATGGTTGGATGTTGTTGGACCAGTTGTGTTTGTTAAAAGGACGAAAGGGTTTGGCTTGTTCACGTGGATGAGAATATGTGAGACATATATATGATTGCTTTGCATTTCAAAATCAATATAGTTTCTGTGAGTTTCTCTTGCATTAAGACGCCCATGGAATCTGTAGCACGCCTTCTTGTTTTCGCCCTGTCAATGGATCTGGCTCAATATATCGCTATGTTCGCAAGGCTTTGCCTGTGTTTCAGAAGTCAACAGGGCTTTGCCTGTTTTTTCTCCGACAAGGCGTTGCCTGTTCTTTTTGCATTGCAAGTCTTTGGTTGCATCTTTTAGGCGATGGGTAGTAGCAGAGCAAAAGACACGTTGGAAGCAAGGGATTATAGCAAGTTGTTGCGCGCAAATGTTTCGGAGTTGCTCGCTTCTGAATACAACGTCATTGACCTTGTTAAGATCGTGACAGCCTATCGTGACTTCTTCTGCGACGTGGCGGAAAAGACGAGTCGCGTCAACGAGCAACCACTGAGGGAAGGAGCTATGCATGCCTTTGAAATCAAACGAGGTGAGGCAGAGGTGTTCGCTGAGCGCGTTTCGAAGGCGTTCAGGATGTGCGTGGAGAAAAGCAGGCATGCCGTTTCCGGGAAGAGGCTTGTCCCTTCTGTCTTGTCTGTTGTGAAAGTTCTTCAAGGAGCAGTTTCCAAGGCCAAGGTCGCCAAGGCGAAAACGCCTCGTAAAAGTGGAGCTGGGAAGACGACAGAGAAAGGTGCAACCTCCAACGCGGCTCGTCAAGCAACACCTGGCAAATCTCCAAGCAAAGCTGCTCGGAATAGCCACGAACCTCGGTCGCCTGTGACTCGACCGACGTCTTCGCCTAGCAAGAACACTGCAAGCAAGTTTCAAACGCCTGACAAGCAAATTGTCTTGTTTTCTCCTCAGAAGCCGAAGAAAGGTGAGTCATGGCAGCTGCCCGCAACGCCCACAAAAACTTCATCCTCCTCTGCGCAGCGTGGCTTGCCCGCTTCTTTACCGTGCTCGGGCAAGACGCAATCTCCTGGCAAGGTGGCTCTGCAGTCGTGTCAGAAGCGTCCTGCAGCAAGCAGCAAGGTGACTGGTGTGCAGAAAAACATCATTGCCAACAAGAATGGCAAAATTTTGAAACGTCCTGCAGCAGCTAAGCCTAGCAACGTTTGCTCTGCTTTGCTCAACATCACAGTGACTAGTACCAAACAAAGTTTGCCGATTCGTTCCTACGTGCAGGCCTGCACGTCTCCAAAAGGGGTCAAGCGGCTAATCGTGGAATTCTCCGAAAAACAATTTAGCAATCACAGAGAGCTTGCGGAAAAAGCCAAGTCTGACATTGTCACCAAGGGCTTGAGTTACACGGACGCCCGAAACCTGAAGATGCAGTATCTGGCAGAGATGCAGAAGCGCTAGCGTGTGAGGCTTGCCCACAAGCAGATCGGATGCTGGGAGGCGAGACCCCTGATAAGACCTCTGGATGTAACCCATTCAATTGTCGGGAATGTACTTTTTTTGACATGCGCGGGCCAAAAGACAGGTGTCGTCAGCCACTCACCGCACGTTTGTTTGCTCTCATGGGTAGATTGGGATCGGGGTGGAGTAGCAGGATAATCACGTGCATTTGAACAGACCCGTCACGTTGCAATATGGTTTCAAACATGCATGGCCATATAGACGGAAAACATGCAGTGCATTTAAAACATGTATATGATGAAGACATCGATGTCCTTATATCGTTGGGTTTTGGCTCAGCAGCTCCTTCTTCTTGGGTTTCGATTGCCGCCTTCGCACGCGGCGTGACCCGTGCAGCACTCGATCGCGGCTTGCCCGACAAATTGCTTTGCGTCGGCTCGTCCGCGGCTTGCCCGGATGGCTTCTTCAGATGACCATGTGACTGCATACATCGGCCCAGTGCAATTGCCTGACGGCACCGGTTACCTGACGGTGGCGCAACGCGAGGAGATTCTCCAACAATATGGCGTCACTGCCGTGGTCCGCAACCGGCCGCAATGGGGAATCCGCTGCCTGTCCTTGAGCGGGCCAGTGGGTAACTTGCTGGCTGCGCGCCGCAGGTGCATGGAACTTCTCCACGTCGAGGATTTGCAGGATGCAGCTGCCTCCAAGCATGGCGCTGGTGGCCCTGACTTGATGGTCAAACAGAGAAGTGCCACTGATGACGCCAAGCCATTCTCGAAGCACCCGCCACCAAAGAGCGCCAAGTCTGCGGGGAAGGGGAATTCACCGGCTCCGACTCAACCGCAGGTGGATCCCTACAATGGCTGGACATGGTGGCCGGGGTACGTGCAGCCGTGGTGGACATTCTGGCCTCCTCCGGCCCCCGCCGCTCCAGCCGCAGACGAAGAAAGCAGCGCCAACTGGTCTGACGCAAGATCCCGCCGGTACCCTGCCCGTGCCACGAACCAGGGAACGACTTCAAAGGCCAAAGCCGTCCCGAAGACACCGCCGGCCACAGAGAACGATGACAACATGGAGGAGGTGGAGGTTGAGCCGGAGTCCTCTGAATCTTCTGAGAGCCTCAGCAGTCCTCGGGCAATTCCCGGGCCTTCCGCCAAGGACCCGCACACGCCGCCAGGCTTTGAGAGGGTTAAAGACTCTGAGAAGTGTGCTGCACGGGTGCAACCGATCAAACGAAAGGAAGGCATGCCTCCGTCTGCTGACCGTGCTGAGGCAAAGGCAACTGCAAGTGGATCGGCCTATGTCGCAGGCGCTGAAGCAGCAGCAGCAGCAGAAGAGAATCGACCGGCAACGGACACTGCTGCCGCGGAGCACCCGGTGATCAAGGCGGAGGAGAAGGAAGAGCCGACAGAACCGAAAACTGAGGTCAAGGAGATCAAGGAAGAGCCAACCGAGCCGTCCGGTGCGAGTGGCAGCACCTCGGCGAAGGCATGCCTCGCTGTCAGCCCTTTGCCTCGGATGCTTCATCGTGTGAAGAAGGAATCCGCTGCAGCATCAGCTGCAAAAGGAAGCATCCTGTCGCCACCCGTTCCGGACACGCCCATGATCCCCACGGAGGACTTCGAAGAGATTGAAGAGGAAGAGCTGATCCCTGGGCCGTGGACGCTTAGCCCGCATGAGATTATGGTGCCCACGAGCCCTGCAGATGAACCTATTGATGAGCCTCCGGTGGAAAGCGGTCCTGGAGTTGTTGGTGGCGCTTCTTCGGACGATATGTCTCCGGAAAAAGACGATTGAGGCTTGCCCAATGTCCAATGTAAGTGGAGCTCTTAGCGTTTTGGGACAGCACACGTCCGCAAAGAGCTGGAATGGTCGGTCGCAAGGCCCAACAGAAACGCAGACGCGGAGCCGACCAAAAAAGTATCTTGCTTGCTGCGTGCCCAATGAAATTCAGCCCTTATGGAAAAATTGAACGTTACTGGGATATAATTCCCCTTGTTGGTTCCTATTTTTCAGATATCTTTACCGTGTTATATGGGGTTGTTAATCTGATGGATTTTGTTGTCGTTCGAACATATGAATATATTGTATAATTTCGAAAATTTATGTTTTGTTGTTAAAAAATAATCTTTTACGGTATCATTTTTTGTTTCTTCTCCGGCAATGTCGTTTACATTTAAAAAATGAAAGCCATATGAATAAAACCGTTAAATCTCCGACGTTCTTTTCTATATTATTTATTTTTCCTTTGGTTCAAACAAATTAACATCTTTGAGATTTAACCACAAACATACAAATACTCTTCTTTATTCAAAAGGAATATTTTTTTGTAGTACTTTTACATATTTTAAAAATGATGATTAATTTAAAAAATTTTAAAAATTTTAAACATTTAAAATTTATAATTAAATATATATATATATATATATAATCGTTTTTTTAAAAAAATAAAAATTTTAAAAAAAATTAAAAAAATTTAAAAAATACTGTTTTTGAAAAAAAGAAACGAAAATAATTAGTTTCTCCAGTCTGCGTCCAAACGAAAAACATCGGAAAAACTTTGAAATCGTCTGAACTGTAAAAGCACGGAACAAATCGTCTGAAAAGATACTAAATGGAAACAATGCGTCAAATGTCATAGATCTCTGAAGGAGCAAAGGAAATAGACCAAAAAACGACACATCATAAAGTCAGTACCTATTTCTATAGATACTGCCTTGTGCATCCACTGGATGAATCCGTGTCATGCAGTCATAGGTTGGCTTCGATTGCTACGACGCGGCTTTGCCCGTCACAAGCGTGATCTCTGTGTCTGAGGCATTGCCCATCACCATGGCGCCCAAAACAAGCGCAGCAAAGCGAGCTCCGAAAGGTTCCAAAGTTCACAAGGCAGCACCAAAACTTCCTGGACGACGTCTTCGCGGAAAAGGCAAGGAAGACCAGGAAGGCGTGCCTTCTGGCTCTGTGCCTGAGAGAGAGGTGGATACTGCCGCGTCATCTTCGGCAGGTGCTGATGGAGGAGATCAAGCACGTCTTTTGACTTCCCTCAAGTACCAAGTGAACGCAAAGAAGGCTTCACCGGAACATAGGCAAGCAGCTGCGAAGCTCTTGCAAGAGTACCAGAGTGCGGACCGCAAACACAAATGGCAGTTACTGGATGCCCTGGCCACCAAAGGGCTTGCCGATTTGTCTTGGTCGCACAAGACATCAGAGACTCACGCGAAAAAGGAATTGCAGACCGAGGAGACGATCTCAGGGATGTACACCCGTTCCAAGATTTTCCAGTTGAACGGTTTCTATGCAGAGTTGGAGGAATCTCGTGCCCACGCGTTGTTGGAAGACCTTCTGGCAGAATCGGAGAAGTTGTATGGACACAGTCGCAATTCCGTAGAACACGTCAACCCAGATTTATGCCGATATTTTTACAAGACGCACATCGGAACCAAAGAGGGTGCTGAGTACACCACGGAGAACCGTTGGCACAGTGAAGCCGAAGTGAAGGGCCAGAAATTGACCCGGATGCTTGGGGATGAGGCTGCTGCACCATCCACAGTCGAGGCAAGCCCGACTTGGCATGATTGGACTGCTTTGCTATCTCCTCTGAAGAAACTCAAGGGTCAGCTCCAAAGCATGGAAGATCAGGTGCTGCTGTGTCAGAGTCGTCTCGCCACATCGACTCATGCCGATGCTGCGCAAAAGAAAACGGATTTGCAAGCTGCAAAAGAATCATTGCAGGAGATCTTACATGAATTGCGCATGCATCTGATGACTGGCACCACAGAATACAAGAAAACCGATGATTGCAGCGCAGGGGCGCAATTGCGCTCGAAACTGAAGAATCGGGCCGAAGAAGTCAAAGCCGAGTGCGCTGCGCAGATTGAACTCTGCCGCAAATGTTACAGTTGATGTGGCATGTCCCACACATCATATCTCCGAAGCACTTCCTTCCAGAGAACGACTTCCTGGGATTTTGATGTGCTACGTGTATGAGAGGAAAAGACGCATGCAGGGTGATTTAGATTACGGGCTTAACGTGACAGCGTCATGTTCATGCCACGATGCATTGTATATACTCCCGCAATCGTGGTTTCTTTTTCGGTTCAATGTTGTCTCTGGTCCGATCGCAACAGTCTGTGCCCTGATCAGCTCCAACGTCACTGCGCGGCTTGCCCGCTGCGGCATCAAACGGCTTGACCTTTGGTGAGCATGTCCTATGGCAAACGCGTGGCTCCGGCATCCTGCAGTGATGATCCAGAGAAGCGTCTTCGTACCGAGATTGTTGACCTCTTCTTAAACAATGAGACTTCCACTCGCCGAATCTCTCGCCTTGCCACTGCAGCCCGAGATGTCGGAGCCGATGGACTGGAGGAACTCATTCGTCGCAGTGATCCTGGCAACAAAAATGCTTCCAGAGATCTCCTGCGGTATGCAACCAAACTGTCAAAGTGGCCAAAGCTGTACGAGGCAAATATCATTGGGAAAAAAGTGCATTCCGAAGAGCGACGTGACTGCCGGGTTGCAATGTTGCTCCCACATGAAATCATGGACGTTTTCTTTGAACGAAATGATCTGAACCGTCTGTTGACTCGGCAGAAAGATTTGTTGTTGACTCGCCCTGATCTGCGTCGGCAAGGTGCTAATGCGGATGAAATCCTTTTGGGTTTGTGGCAAGACGGTGTGCCCTTCAATTCCAATCGTGAGCACAGTTTAGAAACTTGGAGTCTGTCTGTGCTAGCAATGCCAGATCTTCGCATACCTTTAACTGCATGGCCAAAAGACTTGCAAGTAAAGCAAGCTTCTCACGAAAGCATGTTTGCAATTCTCCGCTGGAGCTTCGAGGCGTTGTCCCGAGGAAAGATGCCTGAAAGCAGACATGACGGATCTGCCTTTGGCCCCACAGATGGATGGCGAAAGCAGCGTGCAGGTAAGGCTTTGTCCTACCGAGCCCATGTCTTGGAACTTCGTGGTGATTGGAGCATGTGCAAATCCGTGCTGGGCCTTCCTGGATGGTGCGACAATGGTCACATGTGCTGGCGATGCAATATCGAAAAGCACCATTTGCAAGAAGTGAAAGATACTGCTCCATGGCGAATGCGCCGACTCAGCCACGGAGAATTCATAAGGCGACAACAGGATGACAACAGATGGTTGAGTACCTTCTTTGAATTGCCTGGTGTCACCATAGACACTGTGAAGTTAGACTTTCTCCACATTGCTGATCTGGGAACGACGTGCGATTTCTTCGGAAATTTTCTACATTTTGTCACTTTCCACAAGATGCGAGGTGGCAATCACGCACAGCGTTGTGAAGTGTTCTTCAAGCAGGAGATACAACCCTACTACCGCGACAACGACGTCGAAAGTCGCTTGCCATGCCTGCGACCCACCATGTTGAAAAAGGAAAAAGGCACGTACAAGCTTCGTGCCAAAGCTGGTGAAGCAAGAGCCTTGGTGGGCCTGTTGCCGCGTATCATGCACCGCTACCTCAATGGAGCCATCGAACTGGAACGCGCCATAGGCTTTACAGGTCAAGAGTTAGTAAAAATGTATGAGTGCTTGTCCCATACGGTCTTTTCCGACGAACGCTTCGGGAAGAGCGTCATCGGGTTTCTGGATGGCTTGGTGTGGTTAGAAAGATATTATCAAGTTCAAGGAGACAACAAGACGTGGCGGTTAAAACCGAAAAGTCACCTCCTTGCAGAACTCGGACGCGAAGGCATCAATCCGTCGTCGACATGGACGTATCGCGATGAATCTTTCGGGGGTGACTTAGCTAGCATTGGAAAACGTCTTGGGGGTGACTTTACGATGTTAGCAGTAAGTCGACATATCTTAAACAGATGGATTGCTCGCGAGCCTTTCCCTGTCGTCTGAAAAATGAGTTTGCGCCCAGTGACTATCACTTACCTAGGAGGCAATCAGAACAGATCATATGGCACCGCACAATTGTCCGCACTGTTGTTCCTCTCTCCTGCTATCTTTGTAATTCAAGCTGCACTAACAACTATGCTTCAGAGGCTTGACCCTGACGTCTTGAGAGGCGCTGTCCCTCGCCATGTCCCGTCTTTGCCTTTCGTCATTTTGGTGTTGCAAGCACGACGCAATATATCTATAGAAAAAAATCAAGGTGCTTCAATTTTGTGTTCGCCCCTGCGTGAGTCTGGATAGGTCTCCGTATTTATAACAGAGACTCCCTTCGCACAGCTGTTTCGGTTTCTGGCCCACAACAGTGGTCTACCCTGTTTGATCCTAACACGCTTTTCTCCTTTGAAGCGGCTTGCCCTTCAAATGTTAGATGACATCTTGCCCTTCCTCGACTTCAACACTCTCTTGCAGTCGCGCTCTTGTTCCAAAGCAACTTGCTGGTCCGTGGAACAAATCAAAACCTTTGAAGATCGCTATGCCGAAATGCTACAAAAGATGAACAAGGTCCCGGACGAAGTCGAAGATAATCATTCTGAGGAAGAACGCATCTTGTCCGAACAAGCAGAAGAAACGCGTCGAGCTCGAAGCAGATCCGTCGCACGTGGTCGGATCAAGGCCGCGAAACGACAGAGAGGTTGCTTGAATCCATCATCGAACAGCTCGACTTCTTAGTGCTCGTGCAACTTTACCATCGATCATGGCTTGCCCTGATCGCACCTCACGGCTCTGTCCTGATGTGCAACATTTTCTTCCCAGAGCTTATCATTTCTCACTCCCACAGAAGACGATGAAATATTTCAAAAAAAATAAAAAATATTGCAAATTATTATACCTTCTTCTATAAATGCTGCAACATTCACCAAAACCACTTTTTTTTCGCAACTTTTCCCTTCTACCTCCTTAATTTGAAATTAAGAAACCTTTCTTAATTAAGAAAAACTTCCTTAAATAGCAGAACCTTTCTTAAATATTACCTTAATTAAAGATTATTTTCTTAATTAAGAAAGGAAAACTCTTAATTAAGATAATCTCTCTTAAATAAGTTAGGTTGATTAAGAGAGGTTTCCCTAATTAAGAAGGATTTCATTAAATAACAAAGGTTGGAGGTCCTGGGTGGGGATCCATGGGAATATGTTTTTGAAATCATGGTTTGATCATGATTTTTGATAGTTAAATCATGCTAAATCACTAGTTTTCATGGTTAAATCACCGTTTCGATAGTTAAATCAAAATCTTTCAATCCAGTTCACTGCGTCCTGGGAACGTGCGATAAAAACACACCTTCGAACATCTTTGAACGAACCTTCGCTTCCAGGTTCGCACACTGTCAGCGCTGCGGACAGGGTGCTGTCAAAGCTGCGGACGGGGTGTGGGAAAAGACGGCCACTCCTTTGGGAGAAACAAGTGCGGAAAAGGCCGCAACATGCATGGTAAGCGACTGAGAGGAGTTTCTACACACAACGATTATAACAAGTGGCAATCTATTTATATATATATATATATATATAATAGGTAGATTATTAAACTAGACGACGGTTGGCCCGAGAGCGAAAAAGATGTTTTTCAAGCAGCTCTGAGGATGGTAGTCGCAAAAGATAGTCGGTGAATAGTTGGTGAATTTTATATGAGCTATGGAAAGATATGATTATGGTGTGAAAAAGTAAGATTGATCAAGAAGAGAATATTTGGTAAAGGGCATCAGATGACATGTGTCTTGCAACCACAGAGAGAAAGAGGGGGCAGAGAGAAAGAGAGAGAGAGAGAGAAAGAGAAAGAGAGAGAGAGAGAGAGAAAGAGAAAGCAAGAGAGAGAGAGAGAGAGAGAAAGAGAGAGAGAGAGAGAGAAAGAGAAAGCAAGAGAGAGAGAGAGAGAGAGAGAATGAAAGGGGGAGGTAGAAAGAAAACATGGAGAAATGTAATGTGAACAACAAAAGTGCACAGGAGGCTCGGTACCATGAGTCTGCGAATGACATGTGCTATCTCATTTTATTATGGTAATTCCCACACACATTGCGGAAAAAGGCTCGGCACCATCATTCCGTGAACGCGAAGAAACGCGACGCTTTTATACAGAGACGCTTTTACACACAGAATCTTTTACACATAAACACTTTTACACACAGACGCTTTCACACAGAGACGTTTTTCATGCACACACACAGACGCATTTCCACACAGAGACTTTTACACGAAAACACTTTAACACACAGACGCTTTTATACACAGACTCTTTTACACACATACGCTTTTACATGCAGATGCCTTTTTACAGACGCACACACACTTTCACACACAAACGCTTTTACACACAGACGCTTTTGCACACAGACACAGACGCTTTTCCACACAGACCCTTTTACACACAGACGTTTTTACACACAAACACTTTTACACACATACGCTTTTACACACGGACGCTTTTACACGCAAACACTTTTACATACAGGCGCTTTTACACACAGACGCTTCTACACGCAGGTGCGGTAAAAGTACACACAAAATCTTTTACACACAAACGCTTTTACACATGGTGCTTTTACACAAACACACTTTGACACACAGACGCTTTGACACACAAAAGCCTTTACACACAAACGCTTTTACACACAGACGCTTTTACACACAGACGCTTTTACACACAGACGCTTTTACACACAGACGCTTTTCCACACAAAAGCTTTTACACACAGACGGTTTTACACACAGACGCTTCTACACGCAGACGCTTTTACGCGCAGATACGTTTTACACACGCACACGCGCTTTCACACACAAACGCTTTTACACACAGACGCGTTCACACACAAACGCTTTTACACACAGACGCGTTTACACACAGACGCTTTTACACACAAACGCTTTTACACGCAGATGCTTTTTACACAGGCAGACACGCTTTCACACACAAACGCTTTTACACACACACACACTTGTACAGAAACGAAAGCGTCCAACGCAATTTTTCCTCAGTTTTTGACGTCC